TGCTTGGTTTGTGATCGTTTCTGTGGTGCCTTGTTTTCGCCTACTTTCTTATCGGTTTCCTTTAGCCAGGCCATCATCCAAGAAGTTTCCACGCTTGATTCAAGCCTTTTAAATTTTTCCAGAACAAGGGTTTGGAGTTGTTTAAAATAACGTCAGAAGGAAAAACCTTCCAAAAGAGAACTGCTAGGGATAGCGAGATGAAGCGCTGAAGACGAACTCATGGGGGGGGGGGGGGCGGGGGCGTTGCGGGGCCGAAGCACAAGATTGTCGGGTGCAAAACGTATCTGAAATGATTTACGGGCGGGAACGTTGCCCTAATGGGGCCCGTGTGAAGATTTATGAATCATTTTTCTTCTTTCTCTTTCCTTTTCCTTCGACGTGATTCCTTCGTTCGTTTCCACCGGCCTAACACTATCGACTTTTCTGCAAAAATTTGATGCAAAGCCATGATTGACTTCTCATTCTGACACATGGACGCCTATTGACATCGGTCTCGGGGGACCATGATCTTTCCAGTTGGTGCGCCAAATCGGCGCGGGGCAACATGCATACGAAAGTGCGTCTGACGATAGCTGACGATGTGAGTTTATCACTTGTTCTATGTGCTCTTGCTTTTAGCTCAAAATTTAGCCCACAAACCTGATTGCTCTTCTGAATTGACCTAGTGGTTAAAAGTGACAGGAGAATTTCGGGCAGATTAGCGGCTAGGGAGTCATTGAGCGGGCTCGCGGTGATGCTCGATGTGTGGGTGACTCGAGTTCGGGGTGATGGACGGATATGCTTTCAGGGTTCGCCAGTTGAAAAATTGTCCCTCTGTGTATTCAAACACCCCCGGCGAGGCCTTTCCGACAATTTTCTAGCCGAGTATTCACAACAGCTCCCTCCTACTCCTTCCTCTTTGATCAGGCATTCTGCTTTATTTCCTTACGAAGGTAACAACTAACTTCTTTCTATTCATAACATTACTTAGGCTTCTTATTTACCTTTTATGGGAGTATAGACTTGTAAACAGAGACAATTAACAGGCACATTGTTTCTTGAAAAAGAGCAAGGGACAAAATTCATAGTGTTTTTTTGACCTAAGGGCTTCATCAGTTGAGACCATAATTATAGCAAAGTGTGAGAACAGGCTTCAATGCTGTTTAATTATGGTAATTACACTTGTGATGGGCTAGGATTACCCAGGGAGGGATCGGATTTCTTTGTGGGGACAGTCGTTTACGTAGAGTATTCACAATGAGGTTGGTACTTTTGGCTACGGCTCGATTTTCTTTTGGTTTATTTTGATTTTTTGGCTAACTTATTTTTGAATTCAATTTGAATGTTCTTTAAAATTTTGATACTTCAAGCAACTTTTTGATTCCTTCGAATCGCAAAGACAGGATTGTGGTCAATCGTAATTCTGGTGATTTTTCTATAGCGTTGTAATTTCTAAACAAGCTTTTTTTTGAACTTTTAGAGTTCGCATGCTTTTTTCTTGCAAAATCCTACCTATTTTTTAGAATCAGGCCCTGGTGAAAGAACTTGTAACTGACACAGTTGACCACTCAAAGTTTGCCCCTCTAACTTGGATCTCTCATCTCGTAGACAGGGTCTATGCAATGGTTGACAGGTTCTGGGGCCAAGATCTGAAGCACAGACCAACTGCGACTCGCTCCGTAGCAGGGTCAACAAAACTGCTATTTTCCACCTCGATCGTTATTGTGCGGAGAAATTCGCCCTCCTCATAGTTCTTGAAAGGCTAAGAAGATGGGTTTTTGAGACTAAGGCTATCTTTAACTCGATTTCGAGAAATTTTTGTAAATTTCGCAGTTTCCAAACTTATACTACAATATTTACGCCGCCCTTCTTGCACTTTCGAAGCTCCAATGATTGTTGAAGATAGTTGTGCTATGTTAGGGGCCCTTTCGGATGCGCGGGGAGGGGGGGAATCGCTCTATTCGAATTGTTCCACTCTGCCTTCAAGTCGGCCGAGTGTGGCGAAAGAATCGCTGATAAACAAAAAATCGTTGACTGTTTTTCAAAATGACTTAAGGATTTATCAGCTCTAACGGAATCCTGCTGGTGGAATCAGATGCGCGGATTCCAAGAACTGATTAGCCTCCATTACTTGAGCCTCACCTTATGGTAATAACCGGATTGGGTACTTCTCACGGAGAAGGAATCCGAACACCGCTGGGAAACTCAGCTTCCTCTTTCGTCATACCCATGGTAACTAAGCCCTCCGCACCCAAAACATAATCAGTCAAGGCAGTGGATCCTCGTTGTCACCTCGCCTTAGTTCCAGGTAATCCCTCATTCACATTGTTTTCTCATGCGGAGTCGGAAATTGTATAACTTCGTATAATGTATGCTATACGAAGTTAATAGGCTTGCGTATGTTTGTTGTGTTACTAATTATTTATTATAACACCTTTTTTGGGGAGGGGGGGTGGTTGAGGAAGGCACCATAGCCAAATGCTTATTTTTCCTTCATCAATTCCTGAGACACAGATGGGCACATAATTTTCAGCAGACATTGTTTAGACCGTTAACGATCTTTGATGAAATTCAGCATCCCTACTGTGTAGGAATGAAAACAAATTCCAAAAAACCTCACCCTAATACTTTATTCTGGTTTTATTTATTTTCTTGCCGTAATATTTATCGTGTTTATTGATGAAATTATAAGTTGCATAACAATCCGGGATAACGTCGTAGGAAACAATTCTAGCCATGTCCTTCAAAAAGCGAAATCATCGATCTTCCGTTTTAGCACTTACAAGGTAGGTCGTTCAGGGTGTGCCAAGCTTTTTCAAAATGGTTTTTTGCATGACATAGGGGCACATGCGGGAACCACAGAACCATGTTCATTTTTTCCTGAACGGCCCTCTGAATACCAGAAAAGGGTCCCTAGTTCGATTCCTCGTGGTGACAAATTTTTGCATTTCGAGTTGACGTTTCAAAATTCGCGCAAAATGGAGTTAGCATGAATAATTAGTACCATATTCATGATTAGGACCGTCAGTAACCCTTAAAATAGACTTTGATTAAAAACTGGTGGAAAAGTTGTGACATCGACAGTGGCCGTTTTGGTGTCACACCTTTTCCACCAGTTTTTTAAATCAAAGTCTTTTGTAAGGGTTACTGACGGTCCTAATCATGAATATGGTACTATTATTCATGCTAACTCCATTTTGCGCGAATTTTGAAACGTCAACTCGAAATGCAAAAATTTGTCACCACGAGGAATCGAACTAGGGACCCCTTTTTGGTATTCAGAGGGCCGTTCAGGAAAAAATCATGGTTCTGTGGTTCCCACATGTGCCCCATGTCATGCAAGAAACCATTTTGAAAAAAAGCCTGGCACCTCCTAAGAGACCTCCCCTGTTAAAATCAAAAAAATAGGACTAATTTACCTTGCAGAGCATGCCCTCATTCAGTGATCATTTTTTTACCATATATAAATATGTATTATAATCACACTTCAGCTTGAATAACCCACAATTCTAGAATTCGATGGAAAACAATGTGGATGAGGGATTGAGTACGAGCAAAACCGAAATGACAACGCAAATCCCCGCCTTGGCTCATTTGGTTCAGTTTCCTAAAAGCTCACCCATCAATAGACTAGCGCAAATGGGTGGTCTTTTAGTCTTGAACTTGAAAACAGAACATGAAAGGATGAGAAAATTCAGGGTTAGTGAGTCTTTTTGGATGAACCGCGCATTCTCCTTCCTTCAGAATGTCCCGACGTCAAGTTTTTTTAGTATGGGTACGTATGTCGGTGACCTCTTCTTTCCTCTCTCTATGAAAACTCGAAAATTGAGTCCGTAGTTTCCTCTGGGCGACTCGGTTTTACCTCATTTGATTGCCAGAGTTCCTTGAGCTCCAAGCAAGTGAACTGTGCTTCTTCTGCGACGTCATTACAATGGAGTGTTAAATGGTGGCCGTCCAAATATAGCTGATCGATCTGAGGCGTATGATTATTACTTCAATTTTGAAGGCGCGCTTCCCATCATTTAGGGGATGCTGGTTGTCAAACACGCTCTCGGTGATGCGGACGTGGGCTTAGTGAGCGACGAGAACAGAACGGCACCCATATGTCTCCTCGTAGACCTCCTTCGACGCCTTCTAGCTGGCTTTCCCAACTGTTCATAATAAGACAATTAGGTGTTTCCAGAGAGCTCTGAACGAACATAACGCAGCAAATAAAGCATTTTGCCGTTGATCAATCCCTTTTTGGGATGCGGCACGCATTCTACTTCCATTTGGCATTTGAATGCGATGTGGCCTATACAATGACTTGCGGGGGCCAGCCGATGTACAAGTCAGTGTTTTTATCCTCCCAGACAAGTCTGGTACCAATTAACCGACCCCGGAGGGATGGAAGGCTTGGTTGGCCCGGGCGACTCACGACCCAGGATTTGATCCCCGGACCGCTCGCGTGGTAAGCGTGCCACTTGCCACTACACCACTTCCGCCCTGACGAACACAGGCCGTGGTATGTCCATGATGAATCTTGCAGTGTTCCCCAAGCTCTTAATGCTTAAGATGTCTCCCGCTCCCCCATGCTCCCATGTGGAAATTCTTCCAGGCAAACTTTTATTCCGAGGCCGCTGAGACTGCTTAGTGCCATACTACTTTCTGTGGGGCAACCACCGGTTCTATACCATATAGACTGAAAGCTGTAGAGCGTTTTATAGAATATAAACACACCTTAACGCCATTGCGATTTTGAACGGAAATGGAGTGCATGGCGTATTCAAAAGAGGGATTATTTCACTCAGATGATCTTCATTATTTCAGGCTCGCGTTCAAGGTAATCATGGCGCGGTTTTTCTCGCCTCATCTGATGCTTGTCGTCACCTGCGCGCTGTACATTATTCTTGGAGCGCTCATGTTTCAGAAGCTTGAGGGTGAGCACTTGAAAGTGAGTTTTCGATTCATCAGGCGCTTTAATTTATAACTGAGTCCCTATAAGGGGACACATAACTTTGCCAAATTTTATTTTTATTTATTTGTTTGCTTTTTATTCAAGTGAGCACAAGTATTCTGCAGTTCACGATGCCGTGCCAGAAGCGTTTCTTCCGCGGGATATTCCATAAGTACGGGGTGATGTTTGGGGCGAAACTGCACTTTTAGGCATTCCAGGTCGAAGGTATCACAGCTGGAACTTTAGCCGAATACAATTTTTCGACATCTGACTGCTGAAACCGTAATTTAAAAGCATTCAATCAATGGATCGATTCTTTATGATTCAGTAGCAACTATACTGTTGACAAGAGAACAGAAGACTTCATTAAAACAATCGGATCAATAATTAGGATATGACGCCATTTGACTGCTGTAGCATCATTGGGATGCCGCCATGTCGTGGATCCATCAACAATCCGCTGCGTTGGACAGATCCTCAACGCTTTCACGCGATATTTAGTACCCAAGCATTGTCTGAGGGTAGCGGGACGAAAGAGGTGGGTCAGGGTGGTGCGCGTAAGCTCGTTCTTGTTCCTCCCCGTCCCCCACCCCCTTTGTCACTTCGCCCAATTGCCAACGATCCGAAGGGATCTGCTTCATAAGATTCTTACCAACCATTCTTGTGGAGAAAGCCTTCATGGTCCAGTTCGAGGTGATCCTTCGTGGGCGTTGATCGCAGACTGTATAACCTTAACAGCACTACTTCGCAATGCTCTATATCCACTATTCGTGATTTATAGTTATTATTTACCGATATATGGCAAGTTATGTATTTAGGAAGTAAAACGAGAGCAGACAGAGAATATTGGCAACAGTGCACAATTGTACATAGACCGAATATGGGATCTGACACATGAACACCGCATGATAAAATACAAGGTTTGCCGTTAGCTTGCTATGCACCTTCGAAGTAAACTGCTTTAGGCGGTTCAGAAACATTGAAGATTTGGTGGAATTCTAAGAAGAGTTCGAAAGAGGAGTTTCATGACTATGTGGACACGGTGTCACGGCTCATCGTGCATCAAGACACGGTTATGATGAGGTTAGATTGAGATTCAATTATCACGACGATACAGTATGCTCTTACACATTTTCCGTCCAGGACGCTCCAACCTGGGACTTTGCCAATTCGGTGTTCTTCACCACCACCATGCTCACGTTCGATCGGTTACGGATACGTGGCACCGTACACTTTTGGTGGACGGCTGTTCGGGGTTATCTACTGTCTGATAGGTACGCATTATGATTTCGTAAAAGCAGCTCTTACCACAATATTTGGCCGGGTCCTGAAATTTAAATGTATACGGGCAAATGATGGCTAGGTAAGAAGAAAGGAAAACCAGCTGCGGAAAACATTGAAAATTAAGGTACTCTTTTCGAAGTATGGGTGAGTTGCATGAAAAGCCGGGCACGAGCACAGTGAGAGAGTTAAAGGGAAACACGAGACGCAGACATCCAAGCGGGTGGAACTTGTATAACGACAGTTCGAGCTGCCTCAACTTTATTGAAAAACATTCCTTTGACGTGCATTTCCCAATGTGTACTCCCTAACCATGAACCCAGAAAAACTGTGCTGTCATACAAGTTTCCACTCGAAGTAGCTTAACCATTTACTTATTCAATGTCTTCTTCTGCGGCTAGCCGTTAGCCCGTGGCAGTCGCCAAGGGTCCGCTCATTGTACTTATTCAATAATTGGTTTAATTGGTTACATTATCTAGTTGAGGATTTCCACTGACGTTAGTTACGGTAGCAAATGTGCGAAATTCATATCGGAGACGATCTTTCTGATTCATTATGAGCTGTGGAAATACTTGGATGAGATGGAAGGCAAGACGAAAAGGCGAGGAGATCACCAATGAGCCACTTTTTACCGAGGATGAGGACGAACAGGTAAAGAGGAAGCTTCGCAGAGGGATCTTGTGAATAAAAAAGCTGAGTAAATAAGAGCGATGTCTGCTATCTGCTCTATCTGATCGAATCCGCTTTAGCGACCCTCTGTGCCTTCTGGGGCCACTTGGCTGATGCCAGATGTAAAATTAAACCCGAGATTCAAGATTGAATTTATATTGTCTTTATTGATTCTTGCGGCGTGTTCAGGAAAGGTACTGCGACGAGTGAGAACTCGTCCGCTTCCCGCCGATTGTTGTGTTTCTCTTCGTCTTTCTTTATGGTCTTCTTGCGTCGTATCTGATTCAGCGGAAGGAACAATGGAGTTACGTGGAAAGCATGTACTTCACGTTCATTAGTATTCTTACCGTAGGTTCGTCACGCTACGGTGGTGCTCATAATGGGAGTAAGGTCTCCAGATTTGAATTAGTAACAAATTTCCAGGTTTTGGAGATTTCCGACCGTCATCAAACAATCCTGACCACATTAAGCTGGTGATAGCGTAAGATGGACTATGATTGTGAGCGTCCAACAATGTAATATTCTTGGCTCAATCATAGGGAAGCAAAACCAAAACCATTACTCTGCTCAACTTTACGACGTGCAGTGCGAGAAGAAATTGTCAAGAGCGCTGCGTAAGGTACCCTCGTCAGAAACCAAAGACCTTAATCAAAATGTTCAGGGCACGTTTTCGCCTACCTTGAAAAGGCCTACATAGCTCTGTAGCGCGCTTGCCGATGAACCGGATCGGCGTTCGAGCCCCGCGCCTTGGGCAAACCTTGGTTTTGACCCAGACATTCTTTGTGCGACCGGCAGACATTTCACAATTATCGCCACCCAATTAGAATGAAGTATCAGGCCCATTTATTTATTCAGCTGGGCTATCCCTATGGGTAGTATCTAGCATGAGCCTTATGACCTGGAGCCTTCTGAAGTATAAAGTGGTTAATCTCCGCTCATAACTGCAGCTGTTGATTATAGGGGGATAGAACCTTCCAAATGAAATAGGTGTTGAAGAGTTTTTCAGAACCTTCCAGAAATTGAACAATTTGATTGTAATTGAAATTATAGGTGGTGTGGTTCTGACGACGATGTGTATGGACGTTGTTGGTCGGATGTATCTGAAGGAAATCCATTATCTTGGTCGAAAGCTCAAGAGTAGCAATCCATTCTACCTGATAAGAGAAGCGAAAGCACGGTATTTACTGCCACAATGCGTAATTTTTGCATATTAGTTTGCTGAAAATTGATTTGGTGCAGTTAGCTTTGAAGTCAGCTCGTCACATGTTCGTTTTATAGGCGACATATGAAAATGAGACGGTATCTCAGGTAAGCAGTAGGCACGAAAAGGAGTGTTACGCACGAGGGTGGCTTTGAGCTGTGCCCACCTGCTTTGGACGAGTTGTCGCATTATCGCAATGGGATCAGATCGGTCGCGATTAGTGACCGGAAGTCCTCTGAACGGGATAATAATGGTTGTCAACAACTCGTTCAAAACGGGTGAAGGAATAGTCGGCAACTTTTTACCTCCATTCACCTTCACAATCGAGCACAGTCATACATCGGCATGACATACACTGCCTGCAAACTCGATCGATATCATGAAAATAGCAGTTTGCGTTCGGGGTCAGTGAAGTATTCGACTATATGGTAATCGTCGCCCACCAGTCAAAGGCAGGTGTCAAGATGAACCTGTTGTGGTGCTTGTGCGAGGAAATGAAGTCAAGTCAAGAGCCTAATCACTAATGTGGTGTGTATGTGCTCAGGCAATGAGAGAGTGAGCGCAAAGGAGAGAGCCCGTAACTGGTGAGGGAAGGCTTGAGACACGCAGAATCTGTGGGAGCGAAGAAATGGAAAGCGTTGACTGTGCGTTGCGAGGCCTCGGCCCTTGCGCTCGTTAAAAACGAGAAGTTATGTGAGACAGGCACGTTCCAGCTCTTACACTTACCGAAAGAAGGGATATGACCTATAAGATGCCCGGTGCGAAGTCAGAAAGTCATGTTTTCCGTTGTTAATTGTAGCTGACTAATCGATAGACAAAGAAAACAGTTGCAACTGCATCAAAGAAAGATAGTAATCGCAAATTTTGAGCGCATCACAAGATGAGGATTAGAACCGCAAGAGGGGGATCAGTCTTTTTTCCCCTCCCCCTCCACCCAGAAGGCTTTTCACAAAGTGTGGCCGGCAGCCTCAATGGATCGATGTCACCTATGCATTCTGATGCTTACCATGTACCAAGTCAGCAACCGTCATGGGTAACATTTGAAGTGAGGAAGCGATTGTTAGAAGGGGTTACGAAAGATGCCAAAGAAGGTGTAAGAAGGGATATGTATCTGGATTAGTTTCTCTTTCGATCGTCCAACATGTGGCACGAGGTCGTCTTCTATCGGATCATGGAGGAATTTCCATACAGCACGTATAGCTTTTGCAGAAATCGCCGAATACGAGCCAGAGTTTACGCCAAAAACTTATTAAACTCACCATTGCAACTGCCTTTAATGTCACTTAGGCGGCCTGAAAGAGGGAGTTGTGGGCTTTGATGCAGTCCGATCCACTCAATTTCATAGGGTGAACCTAGAATTTTTGCACGATTCTGACTGAAGGGCATGTGCGTGGCGCATTCCAAAAACGAAGCAATCACTGTATTAGTTGTGCTTTAGTTTTAGTACACCGCTATTTCAGAATACTAGAATTTGACTTCACCAATTCCATCAAACGATTAGTCGAACTGTCTCCCTGAATTGCTCATTCTATTACAATCTCCTATTTCTAGCTAGAAAGCTATCGCAGGCTGTTTGCCGTGAGCCTGAAAACTCTATCTGCACAGCTTTCTTCCTTTGTTTCATATCCGAGATAGCCAATGATTCTTGCAGTTATCGCTTCAGACGACGACGGGCCGCAATGGCATCACTGTTGGCGCAAATCGCCAGAGGAATGATATTTGCCCATAGGGACTACGACGAGTTGTCACGAAAGAAGTCCAAGAAAAAGCGAGCAAAACGGCGTGGAAGCCATGTTTGTGAGTTTGAAAGCGCCCAGATCCTTTTTCTTTGAATTTCATTCAAAAGCTGGACTATTCACTTCAAAGCTACAAAAACAATCATAATGGGTTTTTGTTGTGATCAAAAATTGGCTGCAGGCGGAATGACTAAACATTTGGATCTCCTAAACAAGTCTCGTACCAAATAACCCACCCGGAGGGATGGAAGGCTTTGTTGGCCTTTCCGGTGCATGAACCACGGAGGCGGTGCTCGTGGTGGGGAGCGCCTTTTGCCACTACACCAAATCTGCCTCATGTCTTGTTTATACTTCAACTTCCATGACCGTGCTTCTCGCAACTGCAGACTCAACATCAGGAAATGGAGAAAATTGGAACGTTGGGAAAAGGATTCCATGTGCTTTTTGATGTTGTGATGCTACTGACGCCTGC